AATTCTTCATTATTAAGTTTCCTATGATTAATCGTGTACATTTTGAATAACTTGTCTAATTGATAAATTTGATTTAATAAATATAATATACAAAAATCGTTCAAGAAAAATAAAGTATATTTTATATTATTATAAGTTATAATAATTCATTTTTTAATTTATATAATAATACTATATTTAAAAAAGTTTATTTATGATGTATTAACTATTAATATAAATTAAAGATCCCGGCATTAACACTGGGCACAATTAATGTATTCACAAATCTTTAAAATTATTTTAATAATATAAATAATGCAAAACTGTAAATCGAATAGCAAACAAAAACGCAGGTAAGGTACTTTTACCCACGGTGGTTATTTTTAACAGTTGAATGCAGACATACAAAAAAAAATACTTTATAGCCGACTTGGAAATGTTTTTTAATGGCCGAAATTCTCTTATCTTAGAAGCCAATGCTTACATTTTCATAACATTGATATAGATATCATTGTTTTCACTTATCATGTTAAATGATAAATATTAGTCCATGGTTTTATTATTTCAATAACTTAACTTATTTAAATCTTAAATAGCTGGTAATTGAGTAGCTACTATGGTTTCATAAATATAATTTGTTATTTAATTCCAGCTCTGTTACTGTTATCTATAATACATACAAGAATTTAATATAGACATATAGATATAGTAGTAATTTAATTGTACCATTTAATCGCACTTATTTGTTAACTCAAAGACTAATGAGTAGAGAAGTCTATTTATTACGTTAATATAATATGAATATAAACTAGGCTCATCCGAATTCAAGAATGCACGTATTGGAGGAGTTTGAAACTTGTTTATTAAATATGTTTCTTTGTATTGTATTTCTCGTGTGTTGCAATAATGCAATAAATTATGTTATTATTATAAAATTAACCATATAATTTGTGATTATAATATTATTATAATGTTCTAGGTATTATCCATTTATACAATTTTACATCTTTAAAAATGTTGGATTCCCATTTCCCGCTATAAATTATCATGGTTTATCATTTGGTCATATACTCATAACATGATCATTAACGCATATTTAGTAAGCATTTACCTCTTAGAAAAGAGAATTAATGTCGGCTTCATAATTTTTTCATTGTAGGAGTAGGGAGTCGTACCTATATCTAGTATTTTTAAATACATGCGGTTTGATGTTATATTGGTAAATTGGTTTGATAATTGGTTTTTTACATATATCTATGAATAACCCATACTATGTGATAATTGATAAATACCATAGTGAAAGCCGATGGAATATTTTTCGGAGAATAATTATTAATAACACTATATATTTTTAATTATGGATGTCAGAGTGATTAGAAGATGGGTTTTATTGAGTTTTCCCAAGCCTAATCGGAGATACAAACATAGACTTATGGGTGCAGCTGAATCAATAGAAATTGACGGAACATTAGGTATGAAAACCATAGATAATAGATATTCTCTTTATTATTTATGATGATAACGGGTGCAAGTGGATGGAGCTTGTTATTAGGATCGAGAGTTGAAAAAGCGCGGGAATAATTTTGAATATTTAAATATATATATACTATTACTAATAAATCAATTACCTGTAGAAATTATAAACGATCATAAAAATATTATTTATAGACGTAGGTTATGTTATTACTTATTATATTAAAACTAAAATATTATTTTTAATAAAGTACCTATGATAAATATTTATTAATTGTTTATACTTTTACTGCATTTCATTATTTATAAATTTGAACAAAACATTCAGTTATGAAGACGTGCACAGCGAATTGATTGTTCATTTTGTAAAGACATATATTTGTATTATACAATTTTTGCAGTTCAAACAATTGGATGGTTGTAAGTGTAACTTAATTAATCCAAGTTATGATGTCATACTTATATGTAAATGTGCTGACTACCTAAGATAATACCAAAAAGATTTATTTAATAAAAATAATATTTTATTATTTCTAAAAACTAAAATTAAACAAGATATTTTACATGGATGTTTTTCAGAATATTGCAGATCATATATCTAATGAATGTGTATTCAATAATCATGGAGAGCAATTAATTAATCTAATTATAGATCTATTTTTGAAAGTTCGTCTTAGACATATTGGAACTAGGATAAACTATTTTATTTTAGAGTAGTTGTATACTCGTGTGAGGAGTACTCGAATATAGTCCAGTGAAAACCACAGAAGAATGTAGTTTAATTTATTTTGTGATGAAACAGTTCAGACAATTGCAGTGTACCTACCTAAATTGCCAATCCCCAATGCCATATAATCATATTTGTACGAATAAAATTACCTTAACATTATACCCATCATTATGTATATTATAATTAAAACATTATTTTGATGGTCTATGAATGTCCTAGATATAAACAATAAATTAATAAACTAGGTTGCTAGGTTCCCTATACATACAGTCTAAACGTCTGAAGCCACATATCCACCATTACTAGAAGGTCATTCGGATCTTATCATGCTATAATTTTGATAAGACAATTAATACATAATCAATGTTTAAACATTTTAACTTTTTAGTTCTTTAGTCTTTTATCGTTAAGGTAACAAATTGATATTTATGATTATGTTTGATGTTAATAATTGATTGTTATCTAATTAATTTAAACTTCTGATGATAATTTTAATAATGATTTCTTGTTGTATTTATATATAAACATATAAATTAGGTACGTGTATTATAATACTATTAATTAGGTTCTGTTTTATGACCGATTATATTATTGTATATTAATAATCATTAGATATAATATTTAATAGAACAGTTTCTTAATTAGGTATTTAGGTACTATATATTAGGTACCTATATTGGTATTTTGACAATTTAAAACAATGGTATATATTATTATAAAGATATTAATACTTTTACATATTGTAAAATAAAATAGTTTTATGAAGCTTTTGTCTTTTGCTAGTTACCTTCAATATTGAAGAAGTTAATATTTTTCTATAAGAGTGTGAAATATGTGTGTGAAATAAGTTTGATTATTATAACTTTGTATTTCTTGCATGTATGTCTGTTACATACCAACAGTTCATACTTTCAAGTTTCAGGAAAGAGTTGACAATAATGCTAAGATACTTTCAACCCAGATGATTATATTAGTATCTATATTCTTAGACAACAATTTATTGCTATTTATCAAATACTACTGAGTATAGACTTAAAGTATGTTTCAGTGGTTTTGATAATTCTGAAAACACTTTCAGATGCTAATTCTAAGCCTTCTCTGTGTTTCATTCTTGTTGGAGTTTTTAATGATTCATATTTCATTCCTTATAGTACAGTATGTATGTTCTTGCACATATGAATCATCTGTCACAGCTTTGATGAATTCTTCACCAGTGAGTACTGGTAATATTTTTTTTTACATATTCTGCTATACAACAAAGCACATTGTCTGTCAATGAACTTAACATTGGATTGTTGCAGTTGTCAGGTATTAACAATTCAAATAAATTACACTTAGAACATTCATGTGCAGAAAGTAAATATTTTATTCACCTAGTATAACATTTACAACAGTCCACAAATATACAGTGGTCTGTACTGGAGTTAATATATTATGTACATTGTACAGTGATTAAACTCCACAAATATTTTCTATGAAAAGTGTAAACAAATAACGAATAGGTATATCGTATAAATAATATATATTCTATATAGGTAATAATATATTATATAATATGTTAAAGAACAACAGACTGGTTTTAACAAATAATTCCTTTATTATTTAAAATTTAAAATCAAACATTTAAGAATTAAATACTGCATAAATATTTTAATCTCGAAATGTGTTTTTGAAAGTATACAATCATAATTTATTGTGACAAAAATGAATATCAATAAAAAAAACCCTTACATTTCAAATATTTCAAACAAGAACTCAAATTTTGGTGGGATTACAGCATGCATTTGAACTACTCAAAATGCCGTATAATAACTTCACATCATATCACTAGTTAGACTAGTTAGTAATCTAGCTTATTATATATATCTGTGATGAACGTGACTTCAAATATGAATTTGCATAGCCGTACAGGAACCGAAACCGAAAATAAAATCTCGACATCAGTATGCTTAACTTATAGGATACCCTAGTCAAATCAACTGTGTGTGAACTCGTTATTAACCCCCCCCCCCCCCAAAGAAAAATTCTGGCTAGAGAGGGTATATTTGACGGAGCGCCTGTATTTCCATCAGTCTTATACGCGAATCGGTCCGGGTCTCTCGCCGAACAGAGAAAAGCAACTCCTGGTTATACTTCCACACTCAGCGTACAATCAATTTTAAATAGGTGCAGTCATAATGTCATATGTAAGCAGTGGCGGATCCAAGGGAGGGGTAAAAGGGTAAATACCCCCCCCCCCTTGAGCTTATTATATTTAAATTTTATAAATGTATTTAAAAAAAAAAATGTCGGTTGAATTTTTTCGTTTTGATAAAAAAAATTGTAAGAAATTTTGATAAACATGATATGGGTTGTCAGAATCAAACCACAACATAATATTTAGGTTATATTCAGCGTTACGTATCATTGCATATCGGTATGAACCGCTAGATTGTATTCCTCTATTATCTATTTACATTGTTCCACTGTGTCTTACCTATACATTTATTAATAGCTTATAACAGTTAACGGTTATAACGATAAAAACGTACCCACTACCCAAATGAATTATGATAAACTGTCAATCGGGATTTGGTATGACGGTTTACTACATGGTAACTACACTCGTTTAATGTTAAAACCACAAGTACACTAATAAATAATAATAAAATTCTATCTTATCTTTTTGTATGTATATCTACGATAAAATATCTTGTAGAGTTGTAGACTGTAGTCTTTAGATTTTCAGATTAGTTGTGTCCTACGCATCAAAGTCAGTGCGTGACGTGTATTATTATATTTCCATTCCGTATTTTCAATTTAATTTTGTCACGTAAAAATGTCCAAACGAAAGTCTAATCCTATTCTAGAAATGTTCAATAAAAAACAAAAAAATAATGAAAATGACGTTAATCACCTAGCCTCACACTCGCCTGTAAAATCAGTAATAGATCAAGGTATTAATGAATTACTAAATCCGTAAAAAAAAAATATTGTTTATTAACTTATATTTGATATTAAAACTGTTAATAGAGATGCAATATGAAGATATTATAATTGAGTGTAAAGGTGATGAAGAAGAATTAAATGTAAGTAATTTATTACAACTCCATTCTGACAATCCTGAAAGTGTGAATAATGAATGTAATGATGTTGGTATTTTGTTGGAGTCAAAAACTATTTTCACTGATACCATAAAAAAACACTTGCTTACAAATCCATTTATTCCCCATCAAAATGATCCGCTACCATATTCTGAGCATTTAAAAAAAGGAAATACTGTAAAATATTATTTAAGATTTCATCATTTTCAAAGATTTACATGGATAATATACTCACCATTTAAAAAAGGAATTTATTGTAAATTTTGCACCATATTTGCTTTAAATAAACTAGTAGGATCTTATAAATGTAACAGCGAAGCAGGCTATTTAGTAAAATATCCTCTTATTTCCTTTTCTAAACTTATTGGTAAAGATGGAGCACTTATAAAACATGAAAATGCTATATATCATAAAAATTCAGTTGAAGCTTCAAAAGACTTTTTAAAAATGTACGATCGGCCAGAACTAGAAATAATTAATAGATTAGATGATCATAGATTAAAACAAATCAAGGAAAATCGTTCAAGATTATTACCAATCGTTGATACTATTATTACTATGGGTAAACAAAACATACCATTTAGAGGTCATAGAGATGACGGAAATTTGCTTGATAAACCTGAAAACTCCAGTATTACGAATGAAGGGAATTTTCGTGCTATTTTGAGAATGCGTGTTAGAGCTGGAGATAACGAGTTAAAAAATCATTTGCAAAACAGTTCACAAACGGCCACTTATATTTCTAAAACTACACAAAATGAGTTGATTGATATTTGTGGGAAAATCATTTCAAATAAAATATTAAAACAAATTTCTGTTAATAAATTATATTCAATAATGTTTGATGAAACCACCGACATATCCCACATTTCCCAATTAAGTTTAGTATTAAGATATTTCAACAAAGATTCAGTCAGAGAAGATTTCATTTCCTTTGTTGATGTCCATCAAGTTAATTTCGAAAATAATGATGTTGAACCGAAAATAACTGGTACTTTGTTGGGAAAAACTGTTGTTAAAATAATGAACCAAAATGGATTGAACTTAGATTACTGTGTTGGTATTTGTACTGATACTTGTAGTGTCATGGCTTCAGAGCAAGCTGGTGCTGTTTCTGAAATAATGAAGCATACAAAGAATGCAGCCAGAGCTCTTTGCCGAAGTCATGCACTAAATTTGGTATTATCTAAGTCAGCAAATATTTCAAGTGTTAGAAACTGCTTTGGTACAATTAAAGAAATAATTGCTTTCTTCCATAGTTCAGCCAAAAGAAATTTTGTTCTCAAGCAAAAATTAGGTTCCGAGTTGAGTGGCTTATGTGATACAAGATGGGTAGAACGACACGAATCTTTAATGTTTTTTAATGATAATTTATTACAAATACTACAGGCTTTAGAATGTATAAGTACATGGGATGATGTGACTTCTTCTTCAAAATCACATTGCTTTATTCGTTGCTTAACATCTACTGACTTTATCGTCTCTGTAAAAATTACTAATTTAATTTTTACAATAACACATTCCCTAAGTAAAGCACTCCAAAAACAAAGTTTGAATGTGAACACTGCCACTGAGTTAATTAATAATACTAAACAAATTATACAGAATGAAAGATGCCAAGCAAATATTACATTTAATAGAATTTGGAAAACCATTCTAGACATTTCAGAAAAAATTAATATCGTTCCTTGTATGCCAAGACTATCAGTGAAACAAACTTGTAGGTCCAACATCTCATCTGATACAGTTGAAGATTATTATAGAAAAAATACGTTTATCCCATTATTAGATGCCATTATTACAGATTTCAACCAAAGATTTGAAAAAAATACTGTTCCAATAGAAATAGTTTTATCGTCTTTACTTCCAAAAAAAATATCTCAATTAGATACTGAAGAACTACAAAGAGTAACATCACATTTATGGGGAAAATATTCAGAATTACTAAGTACGAACATAAGTACTTACAACAACGAAGATATATTCAAGTCAGAAGTTGAACTATGGAAAGCCAAATGCAACAGTAATAATACAATGTACAACGTATTGGATAATGTAGAACTTTTGAAATTATGTGACGAAGACATCTATCCAAATTGTAATTTTTTAATTAAGATTTTGGTTGTTTTACCTGTGACAGTGTCATCGGCAGAGAGAAGTTTCTCTACCCTCAAAAGGTTAAAAGTCTGGTTGAGAAATAGAATGAGTGAAGAGAGATTAGTTGGATTAGCTCTGCTGAATGTACATAATGATATTGAAATCACGCCTGATGAAGTCATTGACCTGTTTGCCAAAAGTAAAAATAGAAAGCTAGACTTAATTCTTTAAATTTAAATTTAATATTTTATTTTTATAATTATTTTATTGACATATTATATACTATTGTGTAAAATGTACATTTATATGTAATCTTATTATATTTTTAATTTTTTTTTTGTATTTTTTTTTGTCGCTGTACCTACCAGATCTTTTAAATTAGTGTTTTTTTTAATTATAAAAATGTTGTCATTGATACCAGTTTGTAAGAATAAATTCTAAATGAATATTAAGAAGGAAATAATAAGTAATTAATGTTTATATTAATAAGTATGTTATTAAGTAGGTATGAATAGTATCTGATGGATATATTTTTATTACCCCCCCCCCTTGATGAATTTCTGGATCCGCCCCTGTATGTAAGGACACGAGTAAGACTCCCTGAGCATATTTATTTCACAAGAATAAAATAATAGGTATTCATTTTATTTTGGTACAGAACGGAGCCCTAGGAAACAAAAAATAGAAACAATACATAATCTATTCTTAATAATGTACTAAACTAAAAGTGCTGTCGACGGTTGATTATAATTTTAAAAGCATCTAGGTAACGGAAATAAAGAGGAGAAACTAACGGATAAAACAAACAAATCAGTTCGACGAAAGTACCTAAATAAAATAATAAACATTTTTAATACATTTATTGGTATAGAGGTACATTATATTATTATAATATCATTATTTTGATCTTTATCATTAATTATTTTTATCAATTATCATTGTACTATAGTGGTTCTAATACAAATAATATACTGATTAATATACTGCTCGGCCAGCTGCGCACCCATTCATTATGGGTACGTCTAACCTTGCAGCTTACTTAGTGCTGTTGTTGATCACGTCTGCTACGGCGGACGTTAGCGAGGACTACGATTACCCGTACACAGACTTTTTCCCGGAGTTGTCGATCCAACCCTCAGGACTGGACGCCACCGCGGACGCTGATTCCGACGAAATGCAGGACCTCCGGTTCGTTGACTACAAATCAGTGCCGAAATTGGCCACGGTCCTCGACGACTTGCCGTTGAGTTCCACGCAACTGCTGTCGGCGATTGTCCAACGGTCAAACACAAGCGTGGCCGACGGCAGGTTGAAGCAGACAACGGTCGCCAAGAAAAGCGGTGGCGTACCTTGGCACGATTCAGATTTCGGTAGTATCTACCTATTATATCACATAATAAATTGCTAAGTGTGCTTGTTATATGCCCCCTCCGACAAAAAAATAAAAATTCCGCATTGCATGATGGGTACCTAGCACCAGTGGCGTACATACGGGGGGGGGTTTCGGGTTCAAACCCCCCCCAGGACCAAAAAAAAAAAAAAAATATGTGATATTATTGATGAATTTCTTATGATACACGGACAAACAAACGTCATAATAATATGACTATTGAGTAAACACTATACTTTACCAACAACGAAAAAAGATTTCAAAACGAAATTATGGTTGCCGTATATACACTTAAAATATGTACACTATATTATGTAGTATGTACACTTGATCGTACACAGTCAGTTAATTGCATAGGTACATATTATTAATATTGTCATTATCTCGACTGACTCGATCAGACAACGGAGGAAAACCGATTACCTACGTTATAATCGTTGAATTTCTCGTGAGCGACAATAATACGGTGAAATGGATTCTATTTATATAGCACTATCGTAAATGACCATGTTAAAATATTTAATTATGAAATGTTCGTTCATTTTATTCTATTCTGCCGTTGGAGAAGTTTATGTCAACAACTATTCATTGAACTCCATATACCATAGGTAAGTATTTAGTTAAGATTAATTTTAATTTATAACATTAAGTACAGAAGTTACCTATCTAATAAGTAATAAATAATAATAAATACCTAAAAATAATAAATAAGTATTATTTATTTTAATTGTCTTTCAAACAGATATTATTTGTGTAAATCATAATACGATAGGTATTTTTAATTTTAATGTTTTAACTATCAACGTGAATACTGTTATTGTGAAACCAAAATTGAATAATGTTAAAATTGCAGGACCACATCACCATCTCACAAAACCGTAAAATCGTAAAATCAGTAGGTAATTGATTTTTTTTATTTTTATTTTTAGATTTTAGTGTTGGTATTTATACAGCATTATTAGCATATTTAGGCAAACTATATCATATTATTATGTCAATATTATTGACATTTTGACATGGCAACAAATAATGAAATGCAAAAAAATGAAATAAAAAAAGTAATGAAAAATTAATTTGTTAATTTAACGTTGATAAAAAATACATTTATTAAGTTAGTAGTTAAGTTTTAAAATTATTATTATCACATCATTATCATTATCATTCGATTTCGATGTATTTTAGGTTTTGAAGTTAAAATAAATAGTAATCATGGCTGAAAAAAAACAATCGAAAATTCAATCTTTTTTTTCAAAACCACCTTCAATAACGAATTCATTGTCAAATTCATTGAATGCAACTCAAACAGTTATAAGTTCCTCTAGTTCCTCATTACCATCAACTGTAACTGCATCTGATACACCTATCACTCAGTTCACACCTTCGACTACAGATATTAATCGTACATCTTCCAGTTATAATATTTTTGACATTGTACATTACACAAATAAATTGTTAAAGCAAAGTGAAATAGAAGACATTTTGAGCAAAATTTGGGTCCTTGATATTAATTACAATTTTCCTATCAAAATATCAGTAGTCGGTAAACAACAAAAAGTTTTGAAGTTGAAATTTCAACATAAATGGCTTATTAACTTTCCCTGGTTGGCTTATTCAGAAGTAAACAATGGTGTGTATTGCAAATATTGTGTTGCTTTTACTAAAAATGAAGCCGGTGTTAATAACCAAAAATTGGGAGCATTTGTATTAAAAAAATATGATGATTGGAAACATGCATTGGAAAACTTTAAAAATCATTCGGATTTAGAATATCATAAAAAGAGTTTACTAGATGCCGATAATTTTTTAAACATGCTTAAAAATCCAACAAGGGCAATCGATAAAATAATTGACAACGAAAAAAACAAACAAATATTGCAAAATCGAAAAAATATTATTCCAATAATTGAGGCAGTTATTTTGTGCGGCCGTCAAAACTTGGCATTAAGAGGACACCGTGATTCAGGAAAAATTGAAATCAATGACTCAAAAGTTATGAATGAAGGTAATTTCAGAGAAATTTTACGATACCGAGCTCAAGGAGATATTGAAATGAAAACCTATTTGGAAAGCTCGGGAAAGATGAAATATACTAGTCATAGAAGTCAAAATAATATTATTGATGCTTGTAACAAAATTTTATTGGACAAAGTTGTTTCTAGAGTAAATACAGCAAAATATTTTTCAATTCTGGCTGATGAAACTGCGGATATTTCAGGAGTGGAACAGGTATCGCTATGTGTTAGATATATCAACTCAAACACATTAAAACTTACTGAAGAATTTTTACAATTTGTACCAACTAATGATATGACCGGTAAAGGAATAGCAAATTTAATCCTAGAAAATCTTAAACAATTTGGTATCAATACGCAATATTTACGCGGGCAAGGATATGACGGGGCAGCTGCAATGGCCGGAAAATTTAATGGTGTCCAGGCTCACATTAAAGAAATTCACCCAAATGCTCTATATGTTCATTGTTCAGCCCACTCGTTAAATTTGGCTGTTTCTAAATCCTGTAGTGTACCAGCCATACGCGATTGTCTTGGGACAATAAGTCAAATCAGAGATTTTTTTATTTATCCAAAGCGGAAGTCAGTTCTAATTCAAAAAATAGAAAACTCGTCCGAAACACCATCCAAAAAAACGCTTAAAAGAAGTTGCGAGACTCGTTGGATTGAGAGATACCATGCCGTTCATGACTTTTTAGAACTCTTTGAGTATGTTGAAGAAGCTTTGGAAGATATTTCTGAATGGAATGACAATGATACATCTGAAAAAGCAAGGCGACTTAGAATCTCTATGTTAAATTCCGAATTTATTATTTGTTTATTTGTTTTGAATAAAGTATTTGCATTAGGTTTAGTCTTATCAAAAGTTCTTCAGCAAACAAGCATAGATCTCAAAGAAGCTATGTCATTGGCACAAGACACAAAACAAGAACTTACAGAGATAAGATTGAATGCTGAAAAAGAATTTGGAGACATTTTTGAACGTGTAAAATCACTGGCTGAGAAAATTGACATTGCGATAAACATGCCAAGAATATCAAAAAGACAAACCAACAGGTGTAACATTCAAACAAACGATCCAGAAATATTTTATCGTGTATCAGTATTTATTCCGTACATAGACAAATTCATTAATGAATTGGAAGAAAGATTTACAAATCACCAAAGTACATTGACAAGCTTCCATTCCTTATTCAAAGAAAGTGGTTTTGAAGAAGATTTTATATCTCTTACAAAACAGTATATCGAAGATCTAGAAGATATTGGAAATTGTGATGAGGTATTCAAAAATGAGTTCAAACTTTGGCAACGAAAACTTAAATGTTTATCAGAAACGGATAAACCAAAAAATGCAATGGACGCTATTTACATATGTAATGAAGCCATGTACCCAAATATTTTTAAGTTACTTAAAATATTAGCAACTTTACCAGTTTCTTCTGCCACTAATGAAAGGACATTCTCAACTCTCAAGAGAATAAAAACTTACTTACGCAACTCTACTTCTGAGGTAGGTATGTTTAATTTAAATAAAAGTATTAATGATTATAATGATTCAACTTAATTTAATGTTGTAATTCATTTTGATAGGGAAGACTTAATGGTCTAGCTATGCTATCGATCAATAAAAATGATTCAATTACTCCTGATGAAGTGCTGGTTGAACTATCCAATAAAAAAAGGAGATTAGAATTTTTGTTATAAATAATTAATAATATAATATATATATATAATTATCTGTATTTACTATGTGCATATTAAATAATATTTTACTGCCATGAGTTATGTAAACCTTTGTATTTGTTTTGCTGTTTTGCCTATTAATATTTATACGTGTAATGTATTTGATTGTTAAGAAAATGGGTATTTTTAAAGGGAAAGTTTTAGTGTTGGTTATTTTTTTTACCCCCCCCCCCCAGATCAAATTTGAATGTACGCCACTGCCTAGCACGATTTAAGATAGTATGGTTGCCCATCGACTACGGCAGGGCATAGACACTGTGTGTAATGGCAAAATCTGGTGACTGTGGCCTTGAACACGGTCTCTAGGAGGGCGTGGGCATGCGTTATCACTTAAATAAATCATATCATTATTATCACACAAAAATAATAAGAATAACATTGGTCATTGCGTGGTTTGGTTGTTTCCGTTTTTATAATTCCGTGACTTAGAGGGATACACGTTGCTAACATTCTATCAGATTACGGATACGGTACAATTTCCAATACTTCAACCGTAGGGATACAGTAACCCGATCAGCTGATCGAGTGTCTATTCTATATTGTTTTGTGACTACGGTAAAGTAGCTTATCGAACGACCATCGAAATAAATCTTGCAATTAGCTGTTTTTAAGACTACAGCGCTTTTAGCGGAGAAAATAAAGAATATGCAGATTACTTTTACCAATGAACACAGATAGTGTGTTAAATGATAATAATTTGCAAATTAATATTTCTCATGAATCAGCGTAATGTTCTAATCACGAATAATAGATACTATCTATAATCGTGGTTCTAATACATCTGGTGAATTGTCACCACATAGATATTTATGTTAATTATACCTACAGTAATAAATTATTATTATTATGCATTTTTCTAAACTTTATTTTTTGTGTTCTAGAATATTGTTTGTATTAAAACTATTGTAATTATTTAATTAGTATCCAATCGGTGTATACCATTTACAAAAACTTGTATCATTTAACCATATAGGTCAATATAGGTACTCATAATACCAATACCATTTTGTCTATGATTTAAACAGTGGCGTGAGTTACGAGTTTACAACACTATTTTTCTCGCAGGATGCTGCAATAGTAAAAAAATTGAGATTCACCGTACTGGCTTTCCTATCACAATTCGACAGACAACCATACTATCTTAAATCGTGGTACCTAGGTTTATACTACTTAGAAATAGTTATCAACATTTTAAGAGGGGCTATAAGAAATTCGAAAATATTGTAACCGACATTATTTCAGTCGAAAATATTTCATCCAACAGTATTTAGGACGAAAAATATTTAATTCGACAGTATTTAAGCAGACAAATATTTAATCAGAACTATATTTAATTCGAACCATATTTCAGCCGAATGATAAATATTACTGTGGTAACCACGGTTATAGATATTATATTTATACCAGTGATCTAGCAGTGACGTCAAAACAATATGGTAAATTATTTACAGTGATGCCCGAGTGCTCACTCACTACGCTGGACAAAAAAACGAAAATATCCCTCGACTTGCTATGCAGCACCACCTACCTCAAATTGGTAACAATATTAATTATCGGCTAAGAAAACTAAAATAATAATAATAATAATTCATGTCACTCATGTCGGCTAAAAATATTTGTCGGCTGAAATACGGTTCGAATAGAATACTTGTCGTACGAAATAATTTCGTCCATTTTACGCGCTCCCGGGTTTGCGGATTTGTTTAAGTTTGAGAGTTAATCCTTCTACTTGATCTTGAAGGACAAACTCTTCTCGTTTGACACCGCAATCTATGCCATCGCAATCAAGCCGAGCACCCATGCCCATTTGATCACCGAGTGATCGGCTACGTCCCGATCTCCATGTCCACCAGACTCACAGACAAGGTATTAGCACACAAAATTATTACTTGAGGTGCACTGCGACCTGGCGCTTCATAAACTATAGGCGTCAGGAAAAGGCAAATAAAAAAAAAAAAAATTGGATTAGATGTAATAAGAAAAACAAACAACTTTATATTATTGACATCTTAATAACTTATGATTCACATTTACAAAATAACTTATCATTTCGTCTCAATTGGTTGAGGGAATAATGATGTTGTCGAGGTAGGTAACTATACCGGACTTCTTTGAATCCTTAAATACTATATAATATACATTTTTGAAAAATGCCTGGTGCACCTTTCAAACCGAAAGGCATCCGTTCGAATGTTGTTGTGATATTCTCGGTAACGAACGCCGATTTTTCTTTAGCTTCTTCTGTGAGTGGTATTTGCAGGAATCCAAGGTCGTAAAAATCGATCCTCCTGCCAGAGCACCTAGCTGTTTGTCGACGTCCGGCATAGGATATAGCGGTGTAACAGTTTGTAAAAATCTTGGTTATCAACTGGCGATCCGAGGGAGAAATACGGTACCTACTAGCGGGCATTAACCGAGTCCGTGCCGTCAGCGACAGCTATATCCATTTTTGGCACGTCCGTACACCCAAGTTCATGAATATTCTTTGCGAACGTATCGCGATATAACGGTTCAGCAGTTCTAACAATATTCATCGCACTTGGCGGCGGATCATTGCAGCGCAATCACAAGGTCTTCCGGTTATCTCTCTCTCTCTTATCGATTCTCGCACATTTACCGGTGGTTTGTCTGTGGCGTACGCATTGATGACGTTACTGTCGGGACGTTCGACTACTACATAGTTCGGAAAATTGTTTCGAGACTCTATTATCATGTCGGAGTTTCCCTTATTATAATTAACTTGGGGTAATACCGGCCAATGCGTCCTACGAGCACGTCCACGGGAATCGAGCGATCCGGAACAACTACGACCGCGTGATTGTAGACGGTGACTCCGTCGATGGACGCTCCTGGTTGCGATGCATCGCCTACCGTGAACAGCGGGCTTGGTTTCGGGAGTATCTCAGCTTGACATTTAATCACGAAAGCCTCTCGTACTACTACGCTAGAGCAGCTCGAATCGATTAGACCGGCAAACGGCTGTCGGTTAATCAATACGGCTTTCGAAAACGGATTCGTGCGCGGTACAACCACGATCGCGTTGGCGCGATACGCTTTTTGGTTGTCGTTCATGGATGGTTTAGCTTCAGTTGTTTCATCCGGGCAACGTCCTCGAGTAAGTTGTTTCGACCCGCAATTTGGGTATTGCATAGGTCTACGGAATGTAGGACAGTCCCGCGAAATATGTCTCTTGTCATGCGACAATTGTAGAACGTAATTGCCGACGCTGGTGATTTGCTATATGGTTTCGATTTCTCATTGTAGGTTTCTTGATGTGGTGTGTTTGGCGTTGCCGACGGCACCTCTTGGGATTTTATCGTGCGGCCCTTGATAGGAGACAGGTTTGGAGCGTTCTTGGCCGGAAAGCGGTTCCGACGTAGCAATCGCATCCTCTCCCAATCACGTAGATCAGAGAACAAGCTTGTTTCTGTACAGTGTGTACCTCACATCGTAAAAATTGCCAACTCACGAGATCGCAATCCCTGAATGACATGATCCCGTATTTGTCGGAATGGGAGCATTAATGCACGCCACAGCTTCACCTTTTCATGAAAATAGTCAACCAGGTTTCACTGATTTAATTTGTTCCAACTATCGGACAAGCATATCTCCTGAACGAAAGCTTCTCGGAATTGTCATTCAAATTCCTTCTGGTATGTGAAAATTTCCGACAAAAACCAACTTCTGGTGGCACCCGTGACATGAGCTCTAATGAAATGTACACGCTGCCTGTGGTCCCAACAGTTCAGATTGGTGACACCAATCGCATAATTAATTCAATCATCTGCTACGAAGTTGGTCTCACGTCCCGTAAACGTCGGAATGGAACAATGTACGTCCGGTAGTACTAGGTATTCGACCTGCGTGCATTATTGTATCAATAAATATTTTTTGTTTTGGAAAGAATATGTACTATAACTCGACCCTTGTGAACTTAACAGTGCAACGATAACGGATAAGTGCTAGCGCCTAATTCAATTGTTATTTTTTTTAATTTGCCTTTTCCTGTCACATACATAGTTCATGCCACGCGAGGTAGCAATGAACCTCTAAAGTAATAATTTTGTGTGTTAATATTTCAGAAGTGGGATGTTTCCGATTATTGCCGAGTTGTGGTGCATAATCGGAAAATTGTACCCAATAGACCATGTGGCATGTTCTATCAGTTGTTCTGTTTGTTCGTTTTTGAAAAACACGTGATTGTGCGTCGTTTCGTGTTGTGCGTGCGTGAGCGTCGTTGTTTGGTACGCAAGCGCGTGCGGGTCGTCGCCGCTGGTTTGTTCGCAGTACAAGTTTTACTTTACCACGTAACCGTTACCTCGTTAACGTATCACGTGATAGTGCGTCTCGTTATCAACGTTGATAATATTGTTGTTGTTGTTGTTGTTAGCCGCTCGTACGTTGTCGTCTTAGATCATATACACTGGATAGAACTATGGTTTAAAATCTTGAAGCATAGCTGTTCGTGCCCGAAGTCATCACTGCGCATGAGCAAAGTATATGATTTAAGCATTCAGTACCTAATCGTCCTTATCACTATAACACATTATTGTTCCCATGGCTTAAATATACAAGGTTATTACACATAGCCAAATTGTTATCAAATAAAAATAAAATGGCAGCGTAAGGGTACGGTCCATATCATAGGATATAATATCATAATATAGCCAGTATACGTCGTCCCCTTACGCTGCCATTTTAATCCCTTAACGTGATAAAATGATATAGTGGGGGTACTATTGCAATAACCTTGTATATTTAAGCCATGATTGTTCCTTCCCCGTCCCGCGCGATCTATTTCATTTCTCACGCATGCGCAATAAGTACTTCGGGCATGAACAGGTCTTCTTCAAACACGGACTACGCGTCTACGCGTGATATACGCTAAAGCTCTATCCAGTGTATATGATCTAAGGTTGTCGTCCACCAATATGGGTGACACCATAGATCATAGAAGAATTCGCGAAAAAGTGCGTGTGCTCGAGGAAGCTTCGCGTGGTACCTCCCCGCTTAAGGAGCTACCACCATAACCGAGTTACCACGTGAGCCACGGCTGCCCCCTAAATAGATCAATATTTAACCACCCCGGGCAAATGTCAACATTGCTCCCCTCTAAATACGGCCCTGTATCTTTCTCAACACACATCTCAA